GAGGCGCCCACCACCACCATGACAGGTGCCCACCACCACCACCTCGGGGGCCCACCACCACCATGACAGGTGCCCACCACCACCATCACGGGGGCCCACCACCACCATGACAGGGGCCCACCACCACCACCACGGGGGCCCACCACCACCATGACAGGGACCCACCACCACCACCACGGGGGCCCACCACCACCACCACGGGGGCCCACCACCACCACCACGGGGGCCCACCACCACCACCACGGGGGCCCACCACCACCACCACCACCACCATCCACCAGCACATATAATCACTTTTTGCTGGAAGAGAAATTGAGGTTTAAAGACGGGGGCCGACCGGCTTAGATAGGGTGTGGAGGAAGGGCCCCGATTAGCTGGGTGGTGATGCGTGTGTCTGCATGCAGATCACTGCCAGCAACAGTTTGAACCATCAAGATGGATCACCAAAATGAGCCTGGAAATCGCCGCTGGGACGCTTCTTTCACCTGCTTGCGACCCCCCCCCCCCCCCCACACACCCCTACACCCCCTTTTTTCCACAAATTCCCTTCACCTTTTTTCTAGCCGTTCCCCCTTTGCTTCCCCCGTCTCCCCTCTCCCCCCTACTTCCCCTCGTGCTCTCAGGTCTCCTACACCCTCCCCTCAGCTCCCCTTCCCCTTATTAACGTGGCAAGCCCCCCACCCCCCATGTGGCGGGGGTGTGGTAGGGGGGGGGCATTATGAACGGAGGCATATTAGTAGGCATAGGCCTACTAACCCCTGCTACACTGAGAGAGGATACCTCACCTTGAGATGATTTCGGGGCTTAGCGACCCCGCGGCCCAGTCTACTCGACCAGGAGAGGCAAGTGGAGGGATATTATGGGCGGGGAAAATCTCTCCTGGTGAGTTTAGCCAACACATAAAAGAGGGGAAGGAAAGACTTAGTTATATATAAAAAAGTGGGGAATAGTGTTGTCATGGTGACGGCCGGGACCTGATCACAATATAACCAGATGACATTTAGAGATGTGTGTGTTGAGGTCCCTAGGCCTATATCATCACCCACGAGGATTACGGCCCCAAATGTCGCCCCTTTAGAGTCTGGGTATAAAATTTAGCCCTTAACCAACCAATTTATCCAATAAATCCCTTAATAGATCAATAGCCCTTAACCAACCAATTTATTTTATTTAGTCCTTAACTAACCAATTTATCAATAAATCACGCCTGAACCCAAGCTATATATCAAATATTTGAGCTATATCAATCAAAACAAAGTTAATTAATGAGTCCACCTTGCTTATTTGAATTTATTTAATTAAAATTTATAAATTTAAATTTCAGGGTTAGTATTACGATCATTTTCTAGTAGATTTTTTTTTTTACGTGCAATTTATTGATGTAATTTTGTGGGTATTTCAGGGTCGTCGTCGGGTCCGGAGTTCGACCTGGTGCGGCCGTCGGAGGGCTACCATGGTCTGGTCTCCGAGGACGACACTGTCGTCGAGGTCCAGCCCGCCATCCGCGCCTCGCCCGACGTCTGCTCCTTCAGGATCGTCAACAAGCACCACGGAGAGGCGCCCTTCGTCGTAAGTTGATCTGGCGACCTTCGGGGGGGGGTGAGGTGGGGTGTTGAGTAGGGCTCAGTGTCTAACTTCCTCCTGCAGACTTGTGTCAACTACTGAGACTCTCTCGTGTTGTGTGTGTGTGTGTGTGTGTGTGTGTGTGTGTGTGTGTGTGTGTGGGTGTGTGTGTGTGTGGGTGTGTGTGTGTGTGTGTGTGTGTGTGTGTGTGTGTGTGTGGATACAAACACACACACACCTCTACCATTGCTGCTCTATCAAAGGCGTATGATAGCAGATTTGCTCGGTTGTCCAGGGTTCGACCCCCCGGCAGATGTGGAGGACTGTTTTAAATGTTACTTCTCTTCGTGGACCCGTATGACCAGAGAGAGTTCTTCAGGCGGGATTTGGGTTCCACAAATCACATCTTGCGTGGCGAATATCATTAGCGAATGATATTATACACACACACACAAGGAAGACGCTGGCCCACCCAATCCACCCATCTGAGAAGAAGAAATTAAAGCGTTTCGGTTCGTTTTGGACCATGGGCGATGACGGATCGAAACGTCTTCTCTTCCTGCCTTGTCAGAAATTGCTTTCACTGATTTCACTACCAATACTTGTCTGGGTGATAATTTATCGCGCGTGTTTCCGGGCCAGGATGATATCTTGAGATGATTTCAGGGCTTTAGTGTCCCCGCGGCCCGGTCCTCGACCAGGCCTCAGATAGCCAAGCGAACGCACTGACAGGAGAAGTCCTGGAAGCCACCTCTATCCACAACTCTCAGAGTAGGATCGACAAGAAATGCGAACATCAGAAGACATCATTTATAACGCAGCGGGTACAACAAGGCTAGTAGATAGTACATACAGAACTAGACCTCACTCCTCCCGCGGCACTGATAGCCAGGTAATGATAGGTCAATACTACCACAGCTCACTAACTGGGTACGAAGCCTGTATGTAGGAGGCCAATACTAGAATAGTATTGATAGTCATGTGCCTAGTGAAATCCAAGCGTAGTGTACATGCTGCTACATCTAACAGTCTGGCTGACGAGGTCACCAGAGACCAGTCTGCGGGGAGTTTTGGCTAGGAAATAGTCAACCCCATCTATTTCATGTTTCTGTTATACCTTGTATGCAATATGGCGGCTTTCAGAACTTTCTAGAAAATTCCACGCCTCCGCCATGTTGCCGTCTCGACCAATCAGGGGGGGAAGTGACAAGTGGCAGCATCTGATTGGCTGCAACAGCAGAGTTAAACGAGTCTTGATCCAATCAAAAGAGAGAGAGAAGGCTCGCTGAGCGCTTCTGGCTTTGGCGGGAGCCGACCAGACTCTTTCATACCTCCCCGTCAACCATAAGGGCTGTCAAGACCACAGAAGGACTGAGCTGTCAAGACCACAGAAGGACTTGGCTGTCAAGACCACAGAAGGACTGGGCTGTCAAGACCACAGAAGGACTTGGCTGTCAAGACCACAGAAGGACTGAGCTGTCAAGACCACAGAGGGACTGAGCTGTCAAGACCACAGAAGGACTGAGCTGTCAAGACCACACAAGGACTGAGCTGTCAAGACAACAGAAGGACTGGGCTGTCAAGACCACAGAAGGACTGGGCTGTCAAGACCACAGAAGGACTGGGCTGTCAAGACCACACAAGGACTGAGCTGTCAAGACCACACAAGAACTAGGCTGTCAAGACCACACAAGAACTAGATTGTCAAGACCACACAAGGAGTGAGCTGTCAAGACCACACAAGGACTGAGCTGTCAAGTAGAGATATAATCCAAGAATCTGTCCACTCCCCCAATACGTTACATTTGCTATAGAATCGACCAAATCGTTAAAAATACGTCATATTAACAAAAAAAATCAATCACCGTCAAATTGACGTTTTCTATGCATCGATCTCAATAGACTGGATGGGTTGTTTGGGGTCGTATGTGCCTGGTTAGGTAAAACAGTCGCTTTTTGTACGGAGTGGCGAAGGAGACAGCGAATTGGGGGCCTCAACATAACTAGAAGGGAAGGAGCTAGTACAGGTGTTGACCTGATGATTGAGATCCACCAATCACCATTAAGATTCCCAAACCTGTTCCGACATGATCACTGTGACGTCACGTCACAGGGGTGCGCTAGATATCCTATCCTATCGTTAGGATAGGATAGGATAGGTAAGAGAAGCGAGGATGTTGAGAGCTACAAATACTCTTCTAACAGTGTGTGTGTTTAACTTCCTAGGAGGCCTGGTCGAGGACCCGGCCGCGGGGACGCTAAGCCCCGAAACCATCTCAAGTTAACCATCTTAGGTCTTAGAACCTTCTCCCACCAAGAGAGCCGGATGGCCGGGGAGACGAGGAGCCGGATGGCCGGGGAGACGAGGAGCCGGATGGCCGGGGAGACGAGGAGCCGGATGGCCGGGGAGACGAGGAGCCGGAGGCATTGTCTCAGATTGGGATGATCAAAGCAGTCTGAGCAGTTGAGGACTTCATTGGAGAAGAGAAATTCTGGAAATTGACACGCACCTGGCGCTCTTAACGAGGAGAAACTAGCAGCTCTTTAACCTACTGAGATGAAGAGTCCCCGTAAGAGTCCCGTAAGAGTTTCGGGACTCTTGAGTAGTCCCTAGATTCTTACGGAGGAGTCACCGCTCACAGTGCCAGACGAGCGGAATTTCGCGGTCGTCCGCGGACCTGAGGTGACCATTTAAGGTAGTTCGGGACGTTATTTAGACGCAGGTGGTCCCGATCTGACGTATCAAGGCCATTTACACCTGGACAGCGTCGTTAACGGCTTGTTTCCAAGTGAGCGAAGCGCTGGACTTGAATACGTGGTGAAGTCGACGATAAGAGCCACTGCAGAGGCTCTTGATAAACCTACGCTACCTGTCAAGATCACCCGTGAGCCCTTAAGTCACCAAAGTTAAGTCAGCCCTTAAGCAAGTCCTCCCCCGGTGCCAACCAGGGCCCAGGAAAGTGCCGGGTTACTTCACTTATCATGCTAACACGACTCTCGAGTTTTGGGTCTGGCCATTAAGCCGGCCCTCCCCGGCTCAACATTTTAGAGAGGTGACACCTTCGGCGAGGCGGTGAAGGTGCTAGGAGTCACCTTCAGTGAAGGGGGCGTCTGGGCTCATATTTATTTACCGGAGAAAGCTTTTAAAGCGACCGAGCGGGCTAACAGGAATTAAAGGTGAGTGCGATGGCTTTTTAGTGCGGTGGTGAAGCCCTGGGGTCACGAGAGGAAGCCTGGGGTCACGGGAGGAAGCCTGGGGTCACGGGAGGAAGCCTGGGGTCACGGGAGGAAGACTGGGGTCACGGGAGGAAGCCTGGGGTCACGGGAGGAAGCCCTGGGGTCACGAGAGGAAGCCTGGGGTCACGAGAGGAAGCCTGGGGTCACGAGAGGAAGCCTGGGGTCACGGGAGGAAGCCCTGGGGTCACAGGAGGAAGCCTGGGGTCACGGGAGGAAGCCTGGGGTCACAGGAGGAAGCCTGGGGTCACGGGAGGAAGCCCTGGGGTCACAGGAGGAAGCCCTGGGGTCACGGGAGGAAGCCTGGGGTCACGGGAGGAAGCCCTGGGGTCACGGGACGAAGCCTGGGGTCACGGGAGGAAGCCCTGGGGTCACGGGACGAAGCCTGGGGTCACGGGACGAAGCCTGGGGTCACGGGACGAAGCCTGGGGTCACGGGAGGAAGCCTGGGGTCACGGGAGGAAGCCTGGGGTCACGGGACGAAGCCTGGGGTCACGGGAGGAAGCCTGGGGTCACGGGACGAAGCCTGGGGGTCACGGGACGAAGCCTGGGGTCACGGAACTAAGCCAGGGGTCACGGGACTAAGCCTGGGGTCACGGAACGAAGCCTGGGGTCACGGAACTAAGCCAGGGGTCACGGGACTAAGCCTGGGGTCACGGAACGAAGCCTGGGGTCACGGAACTAAGCCAGGGGTCACGGGACTAAGCCTGGGGGTCACGGAACGAAGCCTGGGGGTCACTCCCTACAAGAATGGCGCCACGGCGACTACTCTCGACTGAAAATATTTTTTGTCAACACCACTTACCGACCAAAACTTAGACGACGCCAAGCATATATTAGCGGAGAATCTTGCCAGTAAGTACGAATATTTGGCGGGAATTTTGGGAGGGCTAAGAAGACCGCGATTTTGGCGGGAATTTTTGGAGGGTAAGAAGACCGGTTTTGGCGGGAATTTTTGGAGGGTAAGAAGACCGGTTTTGGCGGGAAGATTGTTTGTCTCCTGGGCGGCGGTAACCATTAACCCAGAAGTAATGTCGTGATAGACTTTGCTCTTTATGGAGCCACCGGAGCTAACGTTGAAGGTAAGGGTTTGGGAAACACGGTTAAGTACAGGGTGTGTGTGTGGGCTTCTGGGGACACGGGGATGTTGCCAGTCATTCCTGGAACCGAATGTCTTTTTCGTGTTGTGCTGGCGATATTACTGGAACATCAAAGTCTTTAGAAAAGTAGGGTTTGCGATGTTTACATGTCTTCGGTGAGTTATAGGCTTCCTTCTTGAGTCACAGGCTTCCATCTTGAGTCACAGGCTTCCTTCTTGAGTCACAGGCTTCCATCTTGAGTCACAGGCTTCCTCCGCGAGTCACAGGCTTCCTTCGTGAGTCACAGGCTTCCTTCTTGAGTCACAGGCTTCCTTCTTGAGTCACAGGCTTCCTTCTTGAGTCACAGGCTTCCTCCGCGAGTCACAGGCTTCCTCCGTGAGTCACAGGCTTCCTTCGTGAGTCACAGGCTTCCTTCTTGAGTCACAGGCTTCCTTCTTGAGTCACAGGCTTCCTTCTTGAGTCACAGGCTTCCTTCTTGAGTCACAGGCTTCCTTCTTGAGTCACAGGCTTCCTCCGTGAGTCACAGGCTTCCTCCGTGAGTCACAGGCTTCCTCCGTGAGTCACAGGCTTCCTTCTTGAGTCACAGGCTTCCTCCGCGAGTCACAGGCTTCCTTCTTGAGTCACAGGCTTCCTCCGTGAGTCACAGGCTTCCTCCGTGAGTCACAGGCTTCCT